GCCGTTTTCTCCTCTCTCAGTTTTGAGGTTAGGTTGACCCAACCCTACCGAATGCGAATTAGAGTAGCGGAATTAGTTTCCAGCACTAATAGTGGTTAGTGTACAGAAACCAAAAATCATGTGTGTCCAAATCACACAATTTGAGTTAGTGTATAGAAACCATTTTTAGTCATCTGACGCTAACTCATTTTTTTCAGTGCAGAGGATTGCTGGCGAAATTCAGCAGAACTCTGGACAGGAGTTGAACGATAATTTTGATGTGTTAAAAAGAAGTTTGGCAGCCTTGGAATTGAGTAGCGTTCTTTCTTCTGAAGAACGAAAAATTGCGCGTGAGTCTCTTGTCGTAAAATGGGGCGTCATTGATGAGCCGCACGCGAAAATGAGAATGACATCTATTTTATGTGCACTGCCCGGTTTGTAAAAATTAAATTTTTGATGAAGGTTACTTTTTCGCGAGACAGAAAATTTAATTCGATTTCTAAATTAAACGACGAGATGAAATTGGTTTATGGCTTTGACAAACATGGGTCGCGCAAAACAGCTATACGACTCGATCCGGCTATCCGCGGCTCGATTTTCTGCGACGAAAAAGCCTACACGAACAGGAGGCTAAGAAATTTTAACGCATTGACAGAGGAAAGTTGGGGGAACGGGGAGGCTCATAGCTGAAGATGTACCTCCATCCACCCAACCATTCAAGTAAAGGTGGGAGGTATACACTGTCGTGCTAAGGAAAGACGCCCTATGAACATCCGAGAGTTGCCAAATTTCCCCTCTTGAAATATTAATTTTTGAGAAAGTTAATCGATATTTCTAGTTGAGATTTTCTGATACTTCAGACTACATAGCTAAGAAAATTCTCTGGGGAAAAAAGACGGAAAATCTTTGCAAGTAATTCTAGAAATTCATGTTTTACCGAGAGAAATTTGGCAACACACGAAGGTTCGTACGTCGTTTTTCCTTAGCACGGCAGTATACAGTTACCACCCGATTCCATTAGCGAGGAATCGTGAGAAAACAAGGAGAAGACGAGGGAAAAGAAGGGAAAAAGAGAGGAGGAACGCTGCTCGCGGTCTGGCTTTGGACGTCAAATTTGACTGTTGTTTTACAAAAATCAAAAGCCCTCGGATTCCATTTTTAATAAGGGTGACGAAGCAGTTTCCTTGGATATGCATTCATTGCGTCATTGCCGGCTCGAACCGCGCCTCTCTCGAAAATATCCCCAACTCACGAGAGTCACTCAGCAGGTGTCCCTGGCCACACTTAAATCTCATCGACTCACTTCGGCGCTAAGCCTACTGAACAGCATAACTGCGATTTGAAAAGAGATCTGTCGTTCATATGAAACGCAGAACTTTGAAAGTCACGCTGGAAATGAAGTTACGCTCTTAGTTCAATTTTCTTTCGCAACGGACACGTACCGATCCGAGTCGATACCCATACTGTCATGCTGAAGAAAAACGCCGTATGAAC